GAATCTGCTGTCTCTCATGTTGTTGGCTTTGGGGAGGTTACACTGTGACTAACAGTCAAGTGTCAGGTCTTGGGGGTGCCCAGGGACCAGGTGAGCTGCGCATGCTGGGGGCACAGATGAGAGGAGAGACGCTCTTTCATCAATTTCCAGGAGGTTCGGGGGGCACCAGAAGCACCTTTGTCTGCAGAGGTCCTCAGCCCACCAAGCCAAGCTGCTGTTACAAAGAACAGAGTGTCTGGGGCCATGTGACCATAGGGGAGGCTGCCCAGGCCTCCAAGGGGACTGCCAGCTTCTGAGCTGTTGATTCCATGACTCTGGGACCCAGAGCTGCAGAGAAAGGGCAGCATTCTTCCTGTGGAGGCTTGGCCAAATGGCCCCATGGTTTTCTTTCCTCCGGGATCAGCAGGGCTACTGTTGGAAGGGACAATTGCAGTTGTTGTCCCGGCCTGGCCCAGTGCACCGCTGCCAGTGGCAGAGCCAGCTCTCTGGGCTCATCCTTGCTGCACCTGCCCTCCTTACCCTCAGGTGCTTGCGGGCTGTGCCATATGGAAGCTTTGCTTCTTCCCAGCCCCCGGCAGCCGAAGCCTGGGACAATGGGTCTCCCCCTGTCCAATGCAGACAGCACAGGGGCCAGTGAAGAGGGCTCTCTTCTCCCACACAGCCAACTTTTAACTTCTCCTCCTGGGGACATTAGAGTTAAGACGGAGACAGAAGTTTGGTGCTGAATCAGAGGATACTCATTTGCTCTCCTTTTCCAGATAATGTACTTAGAAAGGGGTGAACATATTAATATTTTCCTCTTCAATCCTTGTGGCTTAAATGATTAAAGGGACAGTATTTGTTATCCTGGGGGGAAGATGTCCTTATCTCTTCTCTCTTACATGTACTTTTTATAGTCCTCAGTCATGTCTGTTCTGCGAAGGCCATACGTGGCCTGGACTACTTCTCTTAGTATTGGGGCAAATGTTTTCTCATGTTGCAAGTGGGAGACCTTGGGCCTGGGTTTAGTTATTGGAAGAGAAATAGAGAGTAGGTACCACAGTCGCTTTAATTCGGGTACTTCAGCCTATTGGGTGTTTGGTCAAAGGGCCCAGGGATTCCTAAATCCCGTCCCAAACCAGCAACCCTCCCTCTCAAATGATTTCTCACATCGTCTCTGTCAGTCAAGGTCCAACAGGAGCAGATGATTTGCACAGAGGCTCTGGACTGGGCCTACCTCTGGGGTATGGGATACTCAAACTGAGTAATTTCAAGAGATTTTTAACAAAGGGGTGATTTATAAAATTGTGGGCAGAGTGTAGGGAAACCAGTGCCAGTGACGGATGGCCCAGTGCCCTGGAGCAAGTAACTGCAGGAAGTCATAGTGTTCCTAGGCCCGAAGGCCAAGTGGTGGCCACAGTCACCGCAGACAGAGAGAGCTGCTGCGCTAGAGCACAGCCTCCTGTCCACAGGCTCCGGCCTGTGGAAAGCAGAAGCGTCAACCATGCTCTGGCCAAGGGGCATCCAACTGTTGTCTCCTCCCACAGGCCATTGGCCATTTCCTCCCATTGGCTTAACCCAACGAGAAACCAGAGAGAGAGAGAGAGAAAGAGAGAGAGAGAGAGAGAGTGCATGTGGATGACGTCTATCAATGCAGCCCATAAAAGTCAACTTTCTGAGACACAGAACAGGAGAAAGGTAGGTGGAGAGTAGATATGGAGAGGTAGATGGAAAGTTTCCAGCACGTCTTAATGGCACTGCATTCCAGCATAGCCCTACATCCTAACTAATATGGAAACCCAAACGGCCTCCATGCTTTTGTTTTGTGCCTCCCTCTCCCTTTCCATAGTTTTGACTACTTACTCTCATTTTGTCTGGTAATGGTTTTAAAAAATATTTAGTCTAGCATTTTATTAAACGTGGAAGAAAGCTGTTACATCTCTCAAAATTACAGAATTCCAGCCTCTAACTGAATGGTTCTCAACTGGAAGCAATTTGGCCCCCTCCCCAGGAAACATTTGGTGATCTGGAGATATTTTGGTTGTGTCACCAGTCAAGGAGGAGTGCCCAGATTGCTGCTAACCATCCCACGATGGCCACTGCTTGTTTAAAAAGTAAATAAAAGTGAATACATATTAAAGTCATTCAAGCTATAATACAACCAAATTAAGACTTAGTGATGGAGGGAAGGATGGAATGGTTAATTATTAATCCTGATTTTTAAAGGGACTTGTCATTATTTCCTCGTCTTTTCATCAAGTCTGTTCACAGCTTGCCCAAGGAAGCCCCTTCTCTGCCTGCCCCTCCTCTCCAGCAGGGGCCCAAACAGGCAGGGAAATGACCTGAAAATGGGATACAGGAAGGAAGGGAAAAAAGGAGCAAAGTAACAAAGTGGTGCAAAACGTCAGTAGTGGTGAGGTTGAGAGACCCTGGGCTAGATGGAGACAGGAAGGTTTTGGCTGCATTAAAGGGAAGCAGAGAGAGCAGGTGAAAAAGAGAAAAGGGTTTTTATGTGTTTTGGTTTGGTTTGCTTGTTGGGTGAGAGGAGTCTATCAGAAAGGAAGTTTCCACACTGTCTTAGGGGAGGATGGTCCCCTGTTGGGGCCCAGCTGGGCTCTTGGGCTCACTCTCTGACCATCTTGGCAATCAGCTGGCCTGCAAGGTTGAGCATCTGGGAAGCGGGATTGAAAAGCTCCTGGGGGAACATCTCGGCCCACGTAGATGCCCTCTGAGTTTCCCTGCCCTTTGTGGCTGCTGGAAGTGGTACAACAGACTCTAAAGAGCTATTTCAAGATGGTTCAGCCAGACCCAAAGGTCTGGCAGAGTTCTTGCCTTTCCCAGGCTTTGGGGTTCTCTGCTTTTCAGCTCTGAGCTCTCAGAATGTTAATAAGTAGGGACTTACAAAGTCTTGAAATAGTTCTCAGGACACAAAGGAAATGCCCCCGCTCAGAAAGTAAACGAATGTAGTCAGCTGTCCTTGGTGAACTTGTTGAGTAAACCTGGTTGTTGCTCCTTTTTTCCCTTCCTTCCTGTATCCCATTTTCAGGTCATTTCCCTGCCTGTTTGGGCCCCTGCTGGAGAGGAGGGGCAGGCAGAGAAGGAGCTTCCTTGGGCAAGCTGTGAACAGACTTGATGAAAAGATTAGGAAGTAATGACAAGTTCCTTTAAAAATCAGGATTAATAATTAACCATTCCATCCTTCCCTCTATCACTAAGTCTTAATTTGGTTGTATTATAGCTTGAATGACTTTAATATGTATTCACTTTTATTTACTTTTTTTTTTTTAGTATATAAAGGTTTTAGGTCCTCTTTAATGTTTTATTTTTATATAGTTATAGAAAGAATATAAAATTAAGTTACAAATGATGAATTGATATGCTTTAAATTATTTAAATAAAAACTTGCCAAATTCCAATGAAACAGAAAATTGGGATTCATCAAACACAAAAGTAAATTAGATTGCCCTAACTGTTACTTGGGGATTCAGAGGTAAAAGTAACAACAAGAATGTAATATAAAACTGTACTTCTCAAACTTTAATGGAGAAAGGTCATGTGGTAATTTAGATAAAATACAGATTTTTAAAATATTTTTTTTTTGAGAGGGCATCTCTCATATTTATTGATCAAATGGTTGTTAACAACATTTAAATTCTGTATAGGGGGGTCAATGCTCAATGCACAATCATTAATCCATCTCAAGCCTAATTCTCGTCAGTCTCCAATCTTCTGAAGCATAACGAACAAGTTCTTACATGGTGAACGAATTCTTACATAGTGAATAAGTTCTTACATGGTGAACAGTACAAGGGCATTCATCACAGAAACTTTCGGTTTTGATCACGCATTATGAACTATAAACAATCAGGTCAAATATGAATATTCGTTTGATTTTTATACTTGATTTATATGTGGATCCCACATTTCTCCCTTTATTATTATTATTATTTTTATTTTTAATAAAATGCTGAAGTGGTAGGTAGATGCAAGATAAAGGTAGAAAACATAGTTTAGTGCTGTAAGAGGGCAAATGTAGATGATCAGATGATCAGGTGTGTGCCTATGGACTAAGTATTAATCCAGGCTAGACAAGGGCAGCAAAACATCCACGGATGCAGAAGATTTCTCTCAAAGCAGGGGGGGTGAGGTTCTGAGCCTCACCTCTGTTGATCCCCAAATTCTCACCTGATGGCCCCCCTGCGACTGTGCCTGTCTTAGGTTGTTCCTCCCTTGAGGAATCTTACCCGTCTCTGGCTAACCAGTCATCTTCCGGGGCCATACAGGGAAATGTAAAGTTGGTAAGTGAGAGAGAAGCCATATTGTTTGAAAAGGTTAGCTTTTTACTTCTTTGCAGATTTATGCCCTGTGGCTTCTATGCCCAGCACTTGTCTCGAGGTATCTTTACCACCTGGAGGAATTATGATACTTGGTAAATTCGATATGAGGCACGAATTCTATTTAAGGGTTGTAATTAGGAAGGAAGAAGAAAAGCTATAGAGGTAGCATATGGAACACTTTTATTTACTTTTTAAACAAGCAATGAATTTACATTGTTCAAAAACAAAATGACAAAGGATTTGGATAAATGGGGGACAGTCTCTCTCCCACTCCCACCTCCAGCCATCCCCTCCCAAAAGGCAGTATCCACCTAGAGATTTTCTATGGATGTACAAACAAATATGTACAGGCATGTTTCTTTTATCTTTTCACCCCAAACAGTAGAATATTGCTTTTTTACTCAACAATGTAGCTTTAAGATCCTTCCATAACAATAAAGAACTTTTTTCTTTTTATGATTCTATGGTATCATATGGATAATTCTCAATCTACTGGGCTAAAAGTGATATGTTTTAACAAGGCTTCTGAATCTATTTCTAACCAGAAAGAATGTTCCAGTAAAAAACAGCAACAGAACAAAACTTGTTTGAAAATTTAAGCATGAAAGGCCACTTGCCTCTATCATTTGGAAAAGCTTTAATTCTCTTATATTATGAGACGTTCAGATTTTTTTCTGCATTTACCCCTTAACTTAAAACCTCTACCGAATAGCTGTTCAGACCTGAGGCGTGTCCCAAAGGTTTGGATACTACTTAAATCTTGTCTGCCTGATTAAATTACTTAATGTTTATAATCTTTTCTTATGGAAAGCCAGCCTGAGCCTGCCGAATAATATTAACACCAGAAAAGCCTTGGCTTGGCTTGGGACAGGACTGCACCTCTGTTCCCCCAGCTTTTCCATTAAAAAGAAAAAGAAAAAGAAAAAAATCTGGGTAGTATCCTGGAGTAGCTTTGAAGCTCTGTGCTGAGCAGGACCAACTCAGACTCAGAAGTACCAGCCTATTTATCTGTACTGTATTTCGGTGAGACAGCCAGGACCCGTGTGAACGCTGAACACATTTTAAGTAAAGAAGGAGCTTAAGCTGAAGAGAGGGCAGGCAGAGGAGCCGTCGGGTGGACAGCGTGCTGGGCCCACGGGGCTTTGAGATGCTTTGCAGGATTGTCACTTGATGTCGAACACGTTATTCTCAGAGGACACTAAAGAGAAGCACAGGTACCCTGGGCTCCAGGGGGATTCATTATTCAAGGCACAAAATTCCCTACTCTGGTCTGCAACACATTATAATTCAAATGAGCCCAGCACAATAGAAGAAAATATGCAAGCAGATTTCTCCCTGTCGTGTTTTTTTTCCTCCTTTCTGAAGCCCTGTAATTACAGCGGGCAGGTGGAGCATCTGGGGTGTGGGGGAGTCCACTGTATTTTTACCTTCCCAGGAACGCGACTTGCCTACCGCATCAATATATTTTATTTTTAATTAAGCGCTACTGAATCTCTGCGCGAAAGCCTGATTCACAACTTTTTCCTCCCTGCCATTCCCTGAGATGCTGCTGCTATTACGGTCTCACATTTCCCTTCTTAAAATTTGCTTAGTAAATTAGTTCTGCCCTTGGGCGAGCTCGGCCGCCCCTAGGTCCCCGATCGCGGTCCTTACTCTCTTGTTCCCCCAGGCAGTCCCGGGCCAGTTTCTCCGCGCGCCCTGCCGCGCCACGTGCCCCAGCGCGGGGCCGGGCAGGTGAGCCCCTTCCCCACCCTCTCCCACCCCCGCGGCGACCCCTGGGACCCCGGCATGGCCCGGCCTTCACGCGCTCAGATGCGGGAGCCCCATCTGGAGAAGGAGGCGGGAGCCAAGACCCCTAGGCCGGCCCAGGCGGGCGTGCGGAAGCTCCCACCGTGCCATAGGCCAGGCCGGGGAGGGGTGGGGGTGATGGGGCAGGCGTCCGGGCTGGCGTGGGAGGGTCCCCGCCACCCTACCCCGACGCCGGTCACCTGGGCGTTAGAGCCGGGGCGGCCCCAGGGCCTCGGCGGAGCGTAGCTTTTCCGATCCGGGCCCCCGGGAGCGCCCGGAGCGCGGGAACTCGCTTCCCGCCCCAACCATGCCCAGAGACCCCCGACGGACGCCCCGAGGGATGGGGGCTCCGGGACTCCGGAGGGGAGAGTGAAGTGCGTCCGCGCCCCGGGGCCTCTGGGGAGCGGGCCTCTGCGGTTCCTCCCGAATTCCGGCCGGGGAAACCCAGCCCCCCTCTCCAGGAACCGGAACCTGGAGGCCAATGGGTTCCCAGCAGCCGCGGGGCCCTGCCCAGGCCCGCAGGCCGCGCGGGGGAGTCTCCGGGCCGGCGCGCGGCCAGCCAGGCTGTCAGCGGGCATTCCTGCCTCTGGGGGGCAATCTGAGGCGCGGTCGGGGTTGGCCCAGGAAGGTGGCGGGAGCCTGAGAGGCGGCGGCCGAAGGGCTGATGCCTCTGCCAGCTCTTGCACAGAGAAGCAGCCACCTTTGGTCCCTAGAGAATCTTAATCAAGGGGAGGAGAGTCAGAAGGGTGTTTTTAGGAAGGTTCAGGGAGAGAAATCTATCTTCCGAAAACAAATACCCACATGTGGCCAAAAGAGGAGCCAAGCCTGGAATGAGTGTCGCATCCTTTCTGTGCTGGTAGCTTCCTCAGGCGCAGGCTGCGTCTGTTCCTACCCCTAGTTTCCTGGGTATCCCTTCAGAGCATCTGTACTGGGGCCCTACGTCTCCCTAAGGAAGGATGGGGAGAGCTGGGGGCCAACTGCTGGTTTGGCCTCCGGGAAGGACGGACCTCCTTAGGGCCGTCAGGGTGCTGACAGGTAAGGCGTTCCCTGGGCAGGTCCCAGCTCCCTCTACGGAGGGTGAGTGCCGATTCTATGGCTCAGTCCCACCTTCCCACTCTAGTCGCCCCAGGAACTAGGACTAGGGCAATGTGACTCCTCCTTCACAAGTTCTATTGTATTTCTCTCATCACAAAAGCAGTACATGTTTATAGTGCTAATAAAAAAATTAATTGTACCAGCAAATTAACAAAAAATGCAAACACTCAAAGGAAGAAAATAAAAATCAAACATACTCATCTTACCTAGAGTCAAACCCCTCTTGTATACCTATAGCACAAACACCGGTATTCTGTGGGACACCTGGCATTTTCTTTTCGAAACAATATCTTTTCACGCAAGCATCCTTACAGTGAATACACTTCAGTAGGTGGACTCCTTAATTACTCCAGAGCACTTGCACTGCAGGGACATAGTGTGATATTTTCAACCCACTCCTTTACTGGGCTTTTAGGGTGTTGCTGCGTTTTTTACTTCTGTCTCCACACTGGGTCATTCCCCTGCTGGGTCACTATGCATGTCTTCAATTATTTCCTTAAGATTCATTCCTTAAAACAGCTGGGTTAACTATTCTGCAGTTTTAAAAAGTCTTACTACATTTTGTCAAATAGACCTTCAGAAAGGTTATGTCAATTCATACTCCCACCTGCAGGGAATGCAAAATCTGCTGCCAGAATTCATCGTCATCAATCATGACTACTAGTCCCCTTTTATTTTTTCATCTTCGCCTGTTTTTTAATTGGAGTATTCATCTTTTTTTTACTTGTTTGTAGTATTTTATTATTCAGTCTATTAATTCATTATCATACGTTTTGCAAGTTATCCCAATTTGTCAATTGCTTTTCACATTTAAGTTGACATTTAAAATGTTTGTGTAGTTTTATGGCTTTTGCCTTTGGCGTCATTCTATAAAGTCCTTCCCTACATGAGGATTTTTTAACTATTCACCTGCAAGTTATGTTAGTTCTTTTAGTGTTTGGTTTTAATTTTTAGTTCATATGGTATTTATTTGGGCTTATGTTATAAAATAGGAATCTAAGTTTCCTCCTTGCCCTACTCCTTCTTCCCTCATTGTTGGTGCCAAATCCTTTGGTGCTGGCACTCACTCCAGCCAATTCCTAGATAAGCAGAGTCAGAGGGAAGATCTGGTGGCAGAGAAAAGGATCCTGCCTGTAGGAAGCACAGAGGCTTAAGGTGAGGGAAACTTCTGAAAGCAAGAACAGGACCTGTTTTGTAGCCATATCTGATTGGAATCACAAGAGATCTGGATGAAGTCCAGTTTCTGCACTTTCACCCTGTGGACTCTGGAGCAAGTTACATATTAAACCTCAGTTTTGCATCTGTAAATGGATTTACTAACAGTCCCTATCTCAGGATGGATGTAATCTGTTTGGCACAAAGCAGGCACTCAGTAGTAGTAGTAGGTGGAGAGAAGATGAGGAAGTTGAATGCAACTGCATGTGATATGGAGATGTTAGAAAAACAAACTATCAATAATTATAGAACTAGAAATAATGAGTCTAGGTGCTATACAGTTTGAATTCAAGAGAGTTTATCCAGACCAGTTGGGAAGGTTTCCCGGTGTGGGGAGAAAAGCCCTTATATTCTTACAACCTGCATCTACTGGAGTCTGCATTTAAACTAAATTCAGCCATTTTAGAGGTATCCAATACCATTCTTCTCCCAGACCTGTTCCATGGCTTTCTAATGGACCTGCCTGGGTTGAAGAGAATCTGCAGAACAAGTTGGCATTTGGAGAGCTCACAGGATAGAGAGCACAGGGCTCCAGGCTCCAAGTAGCCAGCCATCTCACTCCTGGCTCACTCCCAGCTGGGGATTGCTGCAAAGAGAAATAGTCCCTGGACATGAGCCAGGGGCACCAGTCAGCTTAACCAAAAGAATCAATGAGCACTGTGTTTTCCCTCTGCAAATGGGGAAAATAACATGGTGAGAAGGCATATGCCTTGTCCAGAATCACAAATCCCAGGGGCAGAGAAAGCAAAGAGAGATGCTGCCTCCAAAGGAGCCATTTCTCATCTTGGAGGTGCCTGGAGCCTGGCTCTGGTTAGCAAAGGGAATGGGAATGCTGCTCTTGAGATCCCGGGCAGTGGAGGCCCCACATATTTTTATGAGGTATGAACTATGAATTGCCATTCAAAAGGCTGAAGATGCCTGTTCTTAGAAAAAACCAAATATTTTAGGAATCCCTTGTTACTAGGAAAAGTGCCTGATTGGTTTTTAGGAGAGTGAAACTCAACTTGATGCCCTGTATTTAGGGCTTTACTTTGATTCTGAATTTTGCCCTAGTAGAACAGTGGTTCTTAATTCTGGCCACACATTGGGATTAGCTATGGAGCTCTTGAAAATACAGATGCCCAGGTCCCACTTCCAGAATGCTGGATTAAATTGGCCTATGGCAGGGCTGAGATGACAGTATTGTTAAAGAGCTCATTTGTGATTCTAATATGTTGTTTAGGGTTGAGAAGAAACCCCTTTTTTCATTGCTGTGTTATCTCCTTTTCCAGCTGGTGAGAATGAGATTACAAGCCAAAATTATCGTAGCAAAATGTTTCTTGAACTTTAAGGAATTATCTGGCGGTATTGTTAATGCAGACTCTGATTCAGGACGTCTGAGGTGGGACCTGAGATTCTGTATTTCTAACAAGCTGATGCTACTAGTCTGAAGATTACCTGTGAGTACTACAAGTCTAGAGGTGGTCCTCCTGTGTCAATGAGCATAAAAACTGCCTGATAAGCCTACTGCCCAGCAGATTCCAGGACTGATTCAGAGTGTCAGGGATGAGGTCCAGGAATCTGCATTTTTAACAAGATGAATTTGCACACTTGATAGTTCAAGGGCCACAATTGGAGAATGCAGTCAGCCTGCCCATGGTTTTCTGAGGCATTTGTCTTTTTAACACATCCTGGAGTCAGTGCTTGGCTGGAAGATCACACAGTCAATTGGCCTGGAGTTGAAATTGAGAGCCCATGATGCCTGCCTTCCAGGCCTGAAATGCTGCTCACTGACTCTGAGATCCCTTAACATTCAGGCCAAATCCCATTACCACAGGAGACTTACAAGTGCTTGCATTTTCTTGGAATAAAGGAGCCATCTGTTTAGGTTTGGGTTTTTATTGTAAAGTTATTTGACCTGTCCCCCTCAGAACGGTGACTAATGCATTGGAGCACAGATTCCAGGAGAATGAAAAGCAAAAGGCATTAAAAATGCCTTCTACTCAAGGAGAAACCTCAAACAGACAAGTGAAAAAGGGTATAAAAGATCAATGCTGTATGTGATCTTACAGACATCAAATATGAAGTCTCTACCAAATTAATATGCTTTGTTTTCTTCACTGAGACAACTGTGAGGTAGGGTAAACCCAGGACCTGCAATGGGAGTCTGAAAGGAAATCAACAAAGCCCTCCTTTTCTCTCATTTGGTCACTCCTATGCCCATCATTTTTCAAATTCTAATTGCTTTAAGATGATGCTGGGCCCCTATTTTTCTCCTGGTTCTCCTCTCTTATTTCTCCTTGTTTGTGTCATTGTACTTCTTATTAGCAACTCCACTAGATGGAAAATGGAAATGGACCTCATATGAGGCAGGATAACATCTGTGAGTGAGTAGGTCTGCTTAGAGGTTCAATGCGGAGAAAGAGAGAATTATTATTGCTGGTCCTACAGAATGCACCTCACTGTGCTATCTAGGCCTGCTTTTATACTACAAATTTAAGCCTTATAACAAGAATAGAATGCTTTCCTCATAGTCCAACAACCTGCAACAAAAATTTGGCAGAAAAACGAGAACTGGGAAAATACTTAATTCTTTAATTCATTCAAATGCACTTACTACTTTATATGCTTCCTATTCTTATGGGCATCTGGTAAAGCTGTTGTAAGATGGGGACATAAATTTATTACCACATATGTGTGACTTGCATGTTTAAGGAAGGTTTTCCTTTTTTGTCTATTTCTTCCAGCTTGTTATAATATATTATATAACTTAAACTACCTCCTATTCCTGTTACTTGGTATAATAAATATCTTGGTGAAATTTCTTACAGAGTTTGATTACTCAGTCAAAACCTAAGTATCCTGCTGGGAGAAGAACAATCATTTTAGTGACACTGTTCTATGCTCTGGTTGAATTGAATACTTACTAATCCAGCCAGAGAAGAAAGAGACAGGTAATTGGAATTGAGCAAACACACTGAGCCCCTCAAAAAAGACTCATGAGAAGTGTAAAATTTCTCATCAAACATCTATCTGTCTATTTTCTCCTTTCCTTACAACAGTCATTGCAGCTGTAGGAAATAACTCTAGGGGCCTGGTCTGCATTAGGGGAAAAATGCTCTTCCTCATTCAAGTGATCTGGAAATGAGTTTGAACAGACACAGTTTGCCAATGGTCAGTGTTAGGTCAATAACTCTAATAGACAATTCAAATTTTCTTTTAAGAAAATAGAATATCCCCATCCACCACCCTGCCCCTCACTGTGTGACACCACTAGGTTTTTTTGATTGTCTGAGGGTAGAAAATAGAGAGGTTGGTTGGGCCAATTTTCATGTAAACTGCATAAATTAACAGCAACCATTTTCTCTCATTCGTCTCCATAACCCAAGATGCCAGGCCTTACCTAGGACCGCACCAAGGAGCAGTCATTAGGAGGGCTGCAGTGGCAGGACTGACCACCTTGGTTGGGGCACGGTCAGGATGCCCTCGAGTGGACATCCTGTGAAAATCACGTGGATTTTGCTCAGGGCTGTATCCACAGTGCATAACACAGTGCTTGGTTCTGGGTGGTCGTATAGATTGGCAGTCTGGGCTTAAATGCTATCAGGCAACCTGTAACTTTTTATTTATGGGTTTTAGAGCTGGAAGGAGCCTTTGAGAGAATAGAGATCCCTATACATTTCCTATCCAGCTGCAATTCCCCCATTCTCCTTCCACACAGAGTCATGATTCTGTTCAGTTGTCCTCTCTCTACCACACCCTCAGGAAGGCTGAAAAAACCCTTCTCGAGGGCTCTCCTTTCCAGTGCTTGGTTCAGAAATGGGCACGAATGACTCAGTGATGGCCAGTGCTTTGTGTTCTGGGAGACTCCCTTTCCTCTTCCTCTGGACACTTTGCGTCTGACTGATGCCTCAAATTATGGCAAAGGATGAACCTGATCCTCAGTCTGCAAGAATAGAAAGGTAGAAAGAGCCCAGGCTCTTGATGTCATCAACCACTGAATCAATTAACCCATGTGTTGGTTAATGTTTTGTGTCAACTTGAGTGGGATGAGGGATGCCTAGATAGCTAGTAAGACATTATTTCTTGCTGTGTCTGTGAGGATGTTTCCAGGAGAGATTAGCATTTGAATCTGTGCACTGAGTGAAGATCACCCTCTCCAGGGTAGATGGGCCTCATCCAATCTGTTGAAGGCCTCAGTAGAATAAAAGGGGGAGGAAGGGTATATTTGCTCTCTTGCTTGAGCTGGGACATCCATCATCTTCTGCCCTCAGGCATCGGTGCCCTCTTTTCCCTGGCCTTCAGACTTCGGCTAGGATTTACACTGTTGGCTCCCCTAGCTCTCAGGCCTTTGGGTTTGAATTGGACCTATACCACTGGCTTCTCTGAGCCTCTAGCTAGCAGATGTCAGATCCTAGGACTACTTTGCTTCCATAATCATGTGAGCAAATCCCTTCTAATAATCTCCTTCCATCTCTCTATCTCTACCTCTATCATCTCCATCTCCATCTCCATCTTTCTATCTCTAGCTCTATCATCTCCATCTCCATCTCCATCTCTCTATCTCTATCCATTTTTATTTTCAACTCTGTCTCATCTCCTGTTGGTTCCATTTCTTAGGGAAACCTTGACTAACACAACCCCTACTTATAAAACCTCAGCTTTCTGTTTTCAGGATAATACGTTTCCTTATTTGGACATGCTGAATCAAATTGGCCCCTCATATATATGAATAAGAAGAACTAAAACACTTTGCCCCTTTTACTTGGGAGCTCTGGACAGGGAGACTTGATTTGCTGGATAACTGAGGGCAAGAAAGACAAATTTTACCTCTTTGGATTAAGACTTGTCAGTAGGAAGGTAAAGGAGACCACAGGATATTGTCCAAGGTCTTTGCCAAGACTTTAGTTGGAAGATTTAATGGAAACCACAAGCAGAGGATAGAGTGAGGGTATCAATGGGGATAAGGGGTGAGGAGATTGGCTTATTCTTTCTGTTCTAAGAGACATTTCTCGTATCAGGCCATTCCCCCACCTGCAAGCCCTTCTGTTTGCCTCAGTGTTATCCCTGATGTATCCATTCTATAGGGCTGGGTCAAGCTGTACCTCCTCTACCAAGTCTTCTCTAACCACTGCAGCATGCACCAGTAACTTTCTTGGAAATCACTCATTTCCTGAACTCCTTACTCATTCACTAAGCATTTCATGTTATTATGGAATATTCCTTCTGGTATTTCACTCATTTTTCCCCTAATTTTATCTTTAGGGAGCAGGTCAGCAAAGAATAAAGGACATAGACTTTCAGGACACATTGACTTGTTTTGAATCCTGCTCTGGGACTCCTGCTTTGCAGAACAACAAAGGCAACATGGCAGCTGCTTCTGACTCTCACTCTGGAGTAGCCTTCTCTGGTAAGCTCAGGGCCACTGGGGAATGCAGTTGTCATAGGTGTGAATAAACACACCATGTTCGTTTTCTGTGGTTGCTGTGATAAATTGCCACAAGCCTGGACCCTTAAAAATACACACATTTATTACCTTATGATTCTGGAGATCAGAATTCTAATGGGTCAGAAAGGCTGGTGTTTTTAAGAGGCTTCAGGGAAAAATCCATTTCCTTGCCTTTTCTAGCTTCTGGAGGCTGCCTCCATTTCTTAGCTCATGGCCCCATATCACTCCAGCTTCTGTTTGCTTTCTCCTATCTCTGTCTCTTTCTCTCTGACCTTCCTACTTAACTCTTATAAGGGCTTGTAAGACAACATTGTACCTGCCAAGATAATCTAGGGGGAATCTCCCCATCTCAATATTCTTAACTTGGTCATGTCTGCAAAGTCCCTTTGGCCATTCGAGGGATCACATTCACAGGGATTAGGGCACGGGCATCTTCAGAGGGAGGGAGGTATTATTCTGCCTACCACATATATACTCTTTGGAGGCTAATTTCCACATCTGTAAAACTGAGGTCCTACTCCCTCCCTCAGAGGGCTATTGGATGACTGAATGAAGTGATGTGTGTGTGTAAATTTCCAGCCCCATGTCTGGCACAGTGGAGGTGGTCGATTCTGGTTAGGGTTCCCTTTTGAGTGGGTTGCTGGAAGCCAGAGGCCAAGTGCTGTGACGTCTACATCTTTCTTACCCTTTAGTTTCTAGCTCGTGCTGGGTCCTGAGAAGGAAATCAATAAATGTAATGAATAATTACCCTGATCAATGGCAATGCCTTATATATAATAAGGGCTTTAAAATGATTTGTTGATTGTTATTTTGTTATCAACGGGTGGCATGAGGAACATATGATTGAATGCTATTAATGAGATCCAAAATATAAATTTGGGTTCTTCCGCTACACTTTTACCTAATTACCCTAAACACTAGTGGCAGAGCGGAATTAGTTCACAATACAATTTAAGAAAAAAATCTTGCAGTCATGGACTTTTCTCCTTAGTCTGGAAACTTCTTGGTTTCCTAGGGTACAGCTGACTGCTCTCTCTACAACTGAAAAATCTCCCAAAGGGCCCTGTCCGGTGAGGCCCCACAAAGCCAGTCTTATTATTTAGAGAGCACACAATGTCCCTTCACATGGGGCACAGAGAGGAAGGAATTTCTTTAAGCCAATTCCAGTCCCCCAGAGCTGCAAACTGCCCTCAGGGCAAAGACGCCTGCAGAGTAATTGGGAGGCGTCTGGCAGTTGAGAGGCCCACGTAAGTTAAAGCTGTATTTCTTTCTATCTTGAGGGATGCCACGCCACTTTTTAAGTGTTGCCCCCCGGGACAAACCTGAATGTCAAAATAAACAATTAAATAATATGCAAGGACAAAATCAGGGAAACTGCAGTCTCTGCCTGACAAGATAATACTAGGAAACAGCAGCCTGTCTGCTGCTGTGGAGGTGAGGAGACAGGTCCTGAAGATTCTGCAAGAGGACTGAGTCAGGGAGGAGGTGCTGCCTGTTTAGGATATGCTTCAGGCCCCATGAACTTGTTAGGTGCACGCTTTTTCAAGATAACAAGGGGGAGAATGACTTTATTTGGATATCATCCCTCTAGCAAACCATTGTGTGGCTGCCCCAGAATTCCCAATACAGTTGTGGATAATGTATCTAGAGAATGGGGTGAGAGGAAGCAGAGGAACCACACCCTAGACTTGTGAGAGGGAGGATCTTGAGGGGAGACCATTAGGTGGGGGCATTTCTGCCTTTAGAGTTGGATGGGGACCCAGGGAGAGGATTCTGTACACTGCCACCCCTGAAGTCCCCCTGGGATTTCACGCACATGCCTTGGCCACCAAGGGCTGGCCAGGTAAACATACATGGTCACAGCTTTCTGAACTGCTACTAGCACACGGGGCTTGAACTTGTCTAATGGACATTTTGGGGATAAAAGGGAAGCATTATTTGTCCAATATTGACCAGAGCATACAATTCGTGATCCCAAGTGATGGCATGGACAGAAACCATGGAAGAATGGTCTTGACATCTTGTTTTCTTGCTGGACAGAGCAGGTCTGCAGAGTCTGGGGAGTTGGGTTGGCTTAGGTGGTATATTTCAGAGGCCAGAGCAAACACCAGCAGTAATGCCCAGGAATGTAGTCACTGGTGCCCAGGGCAAGCAGCCCAGACCTGGCATTGGGTTGCCAAGGGTATACCAGGCCATAGAAGGGTGAGTCAGATGGATACGCAAGCGCCTCTAGACCCCAGGGAGCTCATAAGCACAGGGTGAGGACTGAGGTTAGCAAGTGTGGCCTGAAAGAAACTTCTGGGCATCCATATGCAGGGGACCCTCTGACCCGCATCTAGGGGCTCCTTGGAACCTCTGCGTCTAGGGCACCTGCATCTTAGGCTGAAGGACATAGCTCAGGAGTAGAGGATTGGAAATGCTTTGAGCAGATTGTCCCCTCTGAAAAACTGAGCTATACGCAGTCTTTAAGATTGACATTTGGAAATGCAGCAGGCTAACCAAGGGGACATTCTTTGGGTCCTTTTGCAACAAAACAAAGAGTGGTCTTTGAGTCTGGCTTTGTCTAATAATTCCTATATCAGGCCAGCCCCACCCAAAAGAGGGCTTTTAGGACATTCTCCCAGGCAGTGGGCTTTCTACACTTGGGTAGGATGGAAGTAAATCCCACTCTGAGAAGCCCTCTGGGGGTCTCAACAATGGATAAGAAATGAGGAAAGCTCCAGTGCTCATGCATTGTGACAGAGGAGGCTTGCCAGATTTAACAGATAAAAATACAGTATGCTCAGTTAAATCTGAATTTCAGAAAAGCAATGAATAAATTTCTTCATGTACACTTATCCCAAACATTGTATGGGACATACTTAACACTGAAAATTATCTGTTCTTTCTCTGAATTTCAAGTTTCATTGGGTATCCTGTCTGTTACCCAGCCAACCTATTACTGAGGCCCACAGAGAACAGCCAGTCTGAGACAAGCCCATGTTCCAGGCCAAAGCACGGCAGGCAGGTGTCTTTTCTTCACTTAACCTCTACTACAAATGTCCATGTTTAAGACCAGATCTTGAGTCTGCAGAATAAACATAATATTGAATCAAATATCCCTTGCCATTAAACGTTCTTTGGATTTAGTCTGTAATCCACTCATTGAAGTGCCCCCCACCAATGAGCCTCAAACAACTTGGTAAATACACACAATCACAGCTGCTGTGGAGACACAGATGAGCCCAATGCTACACAGCAAACAGAATCTCATCGTTTCATGGCTTTCAGAAAGCTTGCTGATCTCTCTTTTTCTTCTGTTTGAACTCTCTACAGAGAAACCCACTGAGGGAGAAAATCAGGACTGCTCTCACTGGGCCAGAAATTCCACACTCAAATGACCCAGGGGTAGCAAGCTGCCTTGACAATCTGTCAGTTTCTGGATAGGGCTGCTTGTCAATCACTCTTTCCTGCTACATTGAAGAAACTCCTTTTCTTCACATCATACTTTATTTGCTCACGATGCAGTTTAAACTCAGCTTCTGGAGTGTCTGTAGGGAGTGAGGCACCATCCTGTTCCCTTGATCATGGGGAAACCATTAAGTCAGCCGAGGATCTAGCTTCTTTCCTTCCCATCTAAGACTGAATCTCTAGGCCCTTTCCCAATTCTTCCTACTCCTTTTATGCTCTGATTTTGTTTTGGCTGTAGCCACATTTATTTCTTTCTGTTCCTTGAATGTGTTTTGCTCATTTCACCCAAAGGGTGTCTGGCATGCTCTTCCCCCAGACCTCCCTATAACTGCTGCCCGGCTCCTCCCTGGACTCCCCATCAAATCTCTGTCTACTGCCTCTTTGGCTTTTAAAAGACCCTCATAGCACTTACCACTACTGTTATTTACCAGTTTATGTATTTGTTCATTTATTTACTATGTCTCCTTCTTCTGGAATGGAAACCCCCCACTCTTAGGACAGTGCCTGGTACATAGAAAGTGTTCCACAAATGTTGAGAAGGAGAGAATGATTCTCCAGGAAGGCCCTGGGGGACAATGGAGAACTCTACCACAATTCCTTTCCTCCCTCTGGGCTTCCGCAAGTCTCCCCTTACTTTCTCTTGCCTTTTACCGCACCCACAAGGCAGAGAGGAACCCCAGGAGGGCCATGCTCCCAGTGTTTTAAATACAGAGATAAGAAAACAACTGAAACTTCTCCCCTCTGTGGAGATAAAAACAAAGTAGTATTTTATTCAAGAAGAATGTGTGTAATAACAGTAATCTGAATATAATGATATCTACGAGGTCCTTGGCAAAGCCACCCAGGAAAAGAAAAACAATAGATGGGAAAGCATCTGTGACTCATAACAGCACCTTTCAGCATCAAACTGCCCTGGAATCAGATTCAGATAAACTGGTTTCATCAACTCTAGACTCAGCTGTACGTGTCCCTTTTTATTCCTAGCGCCAATTGCACATTCTCCAGATAATAGCAAGATATTGGCTCTCCTTCAAAACACTGAATGGCACAGGGGAGGAATGAAAAGGATTCCTTGTCAGCTTCTTAAGGTCCAAACACAAAACTAGCTCCCTTCCCCCTATGGTCATCAACAAAAACCTGCTTGCTGGACCAGTGTCCTTCCAAGGTGGCCTGTGGGCCACTGCATCAAAATTATTTAAACACTTATTAAAATGCAGACTTGGGGAATTAACAGAGACCTTGTGACTCTCATCTCCAGGTTAGAGCCCCGGAATCTGTATTTTCAATGACTTCACACCCCAAGGACCCTTCGGCCCCTGAATTTGTCCAGTCATACGGTCCTCACCTCATCCCGTTGCCTCCTGTGTCATCACTAGGTGTCCAAGCTTAAGTGTCCCTTTTTCTCAATGCAATTCTAAGGGCAAGGGGTACACTTGACATTTCTTTTTTGTCCCTGTTAGTGACTGGTTCATGGCAAGTGAGAAAAAAAATTATTGAATGAAGGACCTGAA